CGCGCCACGGGCATCGGGACGTGCTAGCCTATCTGACCGAGGCCTGGGGCATGGACATCGAGGCCACCAATCGAGACTACAAGCGGCCTCTGCACGAGGCGGCCTCCATGGGCCACCGAGACTGCGTGCGCTACCTGCTGGGCCGGGGGGCAGCGGTCGACTGCCTGAAGAAGGCCGACTGGTAGGTGTGGAGACACCCAGCCTCGTCTCTACCCGCAGAGTCGTAGCGAGTTCCTTGTGCTTCTCCGTCCCCTCGGACACCATAGTTGTTTTCAGCTCCTAGTCTCACCCCAGGCCTGCCCAGCGGCAGGGACCTCCTGCCCAACTTTCCCTTAAAACGCAGTTGACCTGCAGAGTCTGTCGTTCTTGCCCTTGTTGGTTAACTGACCCGGCCAGTCACCTCCCTTTCTAGAGCACAGAATAATGTAGAATATAACCAAACAGAATGTTACCAAACAATGAAGTGTGTGCACTATACAGATAGCTCCTGGATGCGACGTTCTGGAGACATTTAGCTCAGTTACTTCTGCATCAATGCATGGTTTCAGTTGACATTGCTCCAATCAATATCCAGAATTCCTGAGTTATTCACGCACTTGTGTGTGTAGAGCACTGTGCAGCTGTATCACATACGTGCAGCCTTGGATAACCACCACAGTCAAACCACACCATCACACAAGCCAGTTGCATTTCATTTGTTAGATTGACGCTGATTTCAGTACTCACTAGGTCAGGTTCGTTAGAGGGTGTGAACCTCTTTAGGAACATGGGGAAGTACGTCTTCCCCACTGGGGCAGGGGAATAGACCCGGTTGTTTTGAGGGTTGTCTGGGTTTTCTTAGCTCTGCCCCAATTCACTGCTCTCCTGTGAACTAGCTCATAAGCAGCTTTGTCTCCCAGGCACCCTCTCCTCTAGGTACACATTCGTTACAATCATGTTTCCCTTATTATTTCTCCCAGGGTCCTCACAGAAGGCACAGAGGTCGCGGGTCAAAGCTGTTTTCCTGCCTGCCAGAGCCCCAACCCTCTAGGTTTCCTATCTGTGCCAAGGATGTGTGTGTTTTGAAGACCTGGCCCCTAGCTTCTAATGTCTCAGCTGCTTCCATCTGACAGCTTCTCCTGGTTGGCCTTAGGACTCCTCTGATGATGGCCTGCACAAGGAAGAACCTGGGGGTGATCCAGGAGCTGGTGGAACATGGCGCCAATCCACTCCTGAAGAACAAAGATGGCTGGAACAGTTTCCACATTGCCAGTCGAGAAGGCGACCCTCTGATCCTCCAGTACCTGCTCACTGTTTGCCCAGATGCCTGGAAGACAGAGAGCAAAATTAGAAGGACTCCTCTGCACACTGCAGGTACAGCCTACAGCTCTGCAGGCGTGCAGTACACACATGTGGCTGCTTCACCCAGCACTGCCCAACCTCATCTTGTTCAGGTTACCTTCTGGGGAAAAGAGGATTATGGAAAACAGAAGGCAGAGAAGAACATCTGGGTGGAGGAGGGGGTGGGGGGTGCGCAGGTACAGTGGCTCACGCCTGTAATCCCAACACTTTGGGATGCTGGAGGCAGGTGGATCACCTGAGGTCAGGAGTTCAAGACCAGTCTGGCCAACATGGTGAAACCCCATCTCTACTAAAAATACAAAAATTAGCCAGGCATGGTTGCGGCTCCCTGTAATCCCAGCTACTCGGGAGCTCTA